ACTATGCATATACTATGCATATCGTTGGACATTGAAGTTATTTAACTAATCCGATGTCTTATGACTTGACTTGAACCACCAAATAGTGACATTAATAACACTGAGAATGAACCTTCAATAAATCAAAAAAATCACTCTAATCATTCGTCAGACCAATCAAAAGAATTAAATAGACTAAATTTAGTGACTCTATTCAAGGCCCAATATACGCCGATTGGCCCATATGTGCACATTTTTAAAAATTTTGCCTATAGTCCCAAAGGATGCATGCATTTGACTGTATTACTTGCAGAAATCAGTATACGAGAAAATCGACCCCCTATGCACAGTCATTTTATTGAGATGCTTGTGAACGCCTTAATTATAGATTTGCAACAATAATGGAATAGCCATGTCTCAGGTTTTACCCTTTCATGAAATCAGAGGCGTCGCAATTGAAATCCAGAATTATGAGATTTCAGGAATTTTTCATTGTTCAAATAATGAAAAATCCCTGAAATTGCATAAGTCTGAACACTCTATGCAAAGTGTAATAATTAATTCCCAATTTTAAATTTTCTGCACCCGAAAATTTCCGTGCGCTCTCTATTAAATTATTTCTTGTCTCCGGTAAAATTTTCTACCTCCATGATGCTGTGTCAGCATAACATTCAAAAAAAAAATTTTACTTACCTTTCATACTAAAACCCTAAATCGCAAGATGGAAAAAATAAATTTTTTTATTATTTTAATATATACCATGAATATTTTATATACGTTTGCTCAGTATACATCCTTTTCGCCCACACCAGATGGTACGTGTGGTAATGATGTCAATTATTCATGCAAAAATTTCGACTGTTGTTCAAAACATGGTTTATGCGGTGGCACTTTAGGTACTTAACTTCGTTATTTAATTGATTCTGAACACCAGATTTTATATTGATTCTGAATACCAGATTTTATCTAAATTATCTTTTATAATAGAATATTGTGGAGAAGGATGCCAGGAAGGCTATGGTCAATGTGGTATTCAGGATGATGGTTTAGAACTTATTGAAACATGCAAGAAAGAAAAAACTTTGGCATTTTCTTTTGATGATGGTCCACGCCCGGTATATCAGATTTTACAGTAAAATTATGTTTTTTATATGCTCTATTAATTTTATGTTTTATAGTGGACTTATCACGTACTCGCTGCATTAAATGAGTTCGGCATAAAAGCTACTTTCTTCGTCAACGGTCATAACAGCCCCGAGTTTTGCATATATGATCATGCTGAACTCCTACTTCAAATGTACAATGAAGGGCATCAAATCGGCCATCACTCATGGTCGCATCTTCGTTTGGGTAATGCGACCCCTGAGGAAATCGAATATCAACTCGGTAACTTAGAATTAGCATTTACTAGAATTATTGGTGCAATCCCACGATATTTCCGACTCCCATATGGTGAAGGCATTAATAACCCTGTATTAAGAAAAGCTTTATTACGTCGTGGATATAAATATATTGCTGGTTTGGATATTGATACCACTGATTCGCGCTCTGATTTAGACATTTCAAGGAGGATTTTTTCAAATCTTATTCAAGATAAAAAGCCGCATATATCATTAAATCATGATAGGGTTAATTGCACTGCCGACTTTTTTGTACCATATGCTATTAGAAAAGCAAAACAGTTAGGCTATAACTTTGATACTATAGCTGGATGTATCGGAAAAAATGATAAACATGATTGGTATAATATTGTTGGGAAACCTCAAAAAAGAGATTATAAAACTTGGCGTTGTACTCCAGATGATAGGCATGGTGGTTTAGTAACGCCAAATTTGAATCCGTGTCCGGCTTGACAATTTGCGTATAACATCTATACAAAACTGTATTCATCGATTGTTGTGTAATCATATCGATGTACTGTATCTAGGGTTCCAATCCGTTATTCAGATAATATCCGATTAAGAGTAGGGCACTATTTTTAAATTACAAATAAATTTAGGGAACGCCTATTTCCACCATGAATATTTACTATTTCCACCATTTTACGTAACTTTTCATGACAATATGTTCGTCATGTTTATGT